GGCTACAGTCTACGGGATCGCAAAGTGTCAGACACAACTGAGCAACTAAACAACAACAATAATATCCAATTCAACTTCTATTAATACATATAGTGAAAGTAGACATCTCCCCAATCTGGTTGGATCACCCTTCTCCAAAATCTTTGCTAGTTTTCTACTGGCTAAAAAAGAGTTCACACATCTCCACTTAAGCAAGCAAAATCCTTCCTTCTCAATTTCTCTTTCCAGTCTTATCTGCAAGTCCTTCTTCAATGAGCATGCTGCTCTAAACTAATGAGACAATTTACAGTTCCCTAAATACACTTTGAGTTTCACGTTTTGAAATTCCATTTGTTCTTTTAAAGTTTTTGCAAAAAGTAGCTTGCTCCTGGTGTAACTTACCAATCACAAAACTAATCTATTCAATTTACAGAAAATGAACAACTTAACTTTTTTTAGGCTTACTATCTTTACGGTTTTAAATAGTTGCTCAGAATTATTTCCTACCAATATGAAGAACACTTCAAGATGCAAGATTCTCTCTTCTGGAATAAAAAATGAGATACAAATTTAAAACAATCTAGACCTTACTTTTTTATTTTCTAGTCTTCATTTTTAGAATCATAAAAATAATCATACTTGTTTCAAATACTTTATCCATTACAGAATCATGTAACATGAATACCTACTATTTATTAAGTGCTAGATAACGCACTAAATTCTTTGTGTGAATTATGTCATTTAACGCTCACAACAATCTTATGAGATAAGAACTATGTCTACATTTTAAAGATGAAGAAACTGAGGATTAAGGAGTTTAGTTACTTCACTAAAGTCTAAAGCTAATAAGTGGTACATCTGTTATTTGACAAAGCCACATTCCCAGGAATCAAAATTTCTTACAAGCCCACCTGCAGATTATATAATTGCATCCTCGGTTCGAAGTTTCTACTTGGGCTTTTAGAGAGTAAATAAAGCATGGTGAACTCCTTCCAATGAGGACATTGACCTATAAAACAGAGACCTGGGAAGTCCCTGGCTTACTCAACTCTACACAAAAGTTAAATTTTTAAGAAGTACCTACAGCACCATCTGTCCACACCTTCTCTCCCCACTACTGACTCTCTGACCTGACATCCCTCTTTTGGTTTAAGATACCAGTCTCTCCCTCTGGTAAGAGTACTTTCCAAATGTCATTTGTTCATATTATTATTAACACGAGTAAGGTTATTTCCTAGAATGGGTAACATAAAAAATCTACTAAGCTACCATAAACAATATTTCACATATAATTTCAGGAGGTTACTGGACATCAAACAAAAAAGCAGTCAAAAAAAGAAGGAAAGTGAACATGTCTTCCTGTAAGATATGCTCCCTGTAACTTTATAATGCCAATGGGAGAGAAAAGATTCACAGACTCACTTTTCATCTTCCTAAGTATCTTTGGATTGGAAAGAAGGCTGATAAGTAAGACAGACATGTAGCCACCTCTAGCTGGTAAGGCTATTTTGTGCAAAGCAAAGAAATCACCCCCTATCCCCAAAGCAGAGAAATCAGCCATCTGCCAATATACTGTCATTGTAATCATGCATGTGTGCTGAGTCAATTCTGTTTTGTTTAACTTTTTGCAACCTTATGGACTGTAGCACGCCAGACTCCTCTGTCCATGCCAGACTCCTCTGTTCATGGGATTCTCCAGGCAAGAACACAGAAGTGGGTAGCCATTCCCTTCTCCAGGGGATCTTCCCAACCCAGGGATCAAACCTGCATCTCTTACATCTCCTGCATTGGCAGGAGGTTTCTTAACCGCTAGTGCCACCTGGGAAGCCCCATCATGATCATGTGCTGTGCTTAGTCGTTCAGTTGTGTCCGACTCTTTGCAACCCAATAGACTGTAGCCCACCATTCTCCTCTGTCCATGGGATTCTCTAGACAAGAATACTGTAGTGGAAATCAAAGAAATTTTGACTCCTGGGAATGTGGCTTTGTCAAATCACAGATGTACCACTTATTAGCTTTTGACTTTGGTGAAGTTACTAACCTCCTTAATCCTCAGTTTCTTCATCTATAAAATGTAGATAATAGTTCTTATAAGATTGTTGTGAGGGTTAAATGACATAACTCACACAAAGAATTTAGTGCTTTATCTAGCACTTAATAAATAGTAGGTATTCATGTTACATGATTCTGTAATGGGTAAAGTATTTGAAACAAGTATGATATTTTTATGATTCTAATGTGTCATGCCCTCCTCCAGGTGATCTTCCCAACCCAGGGATTGAACTCAGGTCTCCCACATTGCAGGTGAATTCTTTTCCACCTGAGCCACCAGGGAAGCCCAATTGTGATCCTATCAATCTATAATGTCTTTATGTGAATAGTGCCCTAGAGGGTTGTTCCAAGGACAATCCACACAACCTATGTAGAGCCTGGAAGATAATTAAATAATCAGAAAATAAGATCCAGAAGGATAGGCTCATCAAAAAAAAAATGATATATTAATGCAAGTGACAGCTTGACAAACAGCTTTTCTATTGGGTTGGCCAAAAAGTTTCTTCAAGGTTGTCCATAAGATGTTGCAGAAAAATTCAGATGAAGTTTTTAAGGTCAACCCAATACAAAAGGCAACAAGCAGAGTGTCTGTCCACGTGAACAAAGAACAAAGCAAAAGAAAGAAAATGTCAGGTACAACTTGAAAAATCCAGGCTACAGAGAGAAAGAACTGCCTAACAGGAATGATGGAAACACTAGGAGATTCAGAAACATATCCATTGTGTGTGCATACCTGTCCTTCAGTACACACACACTTCTTCCTCAGTTTTGAGAAAGAATGCCAGACTTCTTCTGGCGGACACAACTTCTAAGCTAAGATAAAAATGAATAGAGTTCAGACCACCTGGTTGGGCATCCCAGCTCCAGCTCTTATCAGAGGAGGATTTAGCCCATCCATTAAGTTTATTTAGGTTTCAGATTACACATCAACACCCCACAGAAGGCTTCCTTATGATACACCTAAAGTAAGTTTCCCACCATCTCACCAGTAAATGCTATCTCAGTCCACTTAGTTAGTTAGTAGTTTGCTTCCCATCAATTACTGCAACTTGAAATTTTTACTTCTCTACTTACTTGTTCTCTGTCACTCCATTAGAATATTTAATGCATGAGAGAAATGTGTCTGTTTTAATCACACTGGTATTTATTCCCAGCACCCAGAGCACTGCCCAGTATACAGATGAATCAATGAATCTTTCTGAGCCCTTTCCTCCCATTTATAAATCAGAGGTTTTCTGTACTTGTTGTGAAGAACACAACATAAGGAAGCAGCTGGCTTCCACAGTTGCTAAGTCTGATCCAGTCTGTCATAAGACATCACGGCTACTCTCCCCGCTGCTACACATCACCATCTCCAGCAGCATCTGGAAGAGCTGAAGGCAGAGAAGCCTGATGTTTGCAACATTTTATTCATCAGATTGTAGCAATATCTCTCCTTCTGTCTCATCACTATTTTGTGTCATGATTTACTGTCCCCACAGAGAGGATGGAGCAATTACCCTAGTTCTTCCAACACAGCATCCTGTGGCCTTTTCTTCACACAATACCCAGGTCAATGATGTGCTTGAAAGTGTTTTTCATGATTTCTTTGTGAAGCTCCTGAGACCAGATTATAGCAATAGGACCTGTAATAGTTACTTTCATCTATCAATATGGTCAAGCTTTGGTGTCCAATTCCTTGGTCAAGCACTAGTTTAGATGTTGCTATGAAGATGTTTGTACATGTGACTAACATTTACAACCATTAGATTTGAGTAAAGCAGATGATTCTTCATTATGGGGGCAGGTCTCATCCAATCAATTGAAGACTTTAAGAGTAAAGACTGAGGTTTCCCAGAGAAGAAGAAATTCTGCCCTGAAGACTATAACATAGAAATCATGCCAGAGTTTTCAGCCAGCTAGCCTGCCCTGCAAATCTTGGGCTTGCCAAACCCGACAGTCACATAATCCAATTCCTTAAAATAAATCCCTCTCTCTCATCTCTATATATAAATATATATATATACCTATCTGTGTATATGTTTATATAAAGTAAATGTGAAATTTTATTTATGTGTATTTTTTCTGGAGTTAGATTCATTTCTTTCATCATCTTCTCAGAGTGATAGTCCCAAAACTTACGTATATATGTATATATATATATATATATATACACAGAGAGAGAACCAACAATTCATATAATAAGATATATATATGTATAACCATTAGAGCATTTATCAGCACTTGTGATTTTTTACGTGAAAAGAATCTACATTTCCACAGTAATGAAAAACTGTTTTTTTAATCTATCCCAGGGAAATGGTCAGGAACATCACGGTACCCAGTGAGAGGAATGGCACTTGAGAGTGACCTCTTACAAGTGCTTTCTGGTCTCCTCAGAATCACTTAACCCAGGCCACCCTCTGTAATTCAGAGAGAATCAAAACCACAGTTTAGAGCCTCAAAAAAGTTCATCGAGTGGGGAGTAAAGAGCTCCTCAGAGTTCTGACGCAAATGGAAAAGACTTTTTTCCGTCCCTGGTTACCCCTCTGGGCCCTTTCACCACCTGGAAAAAAAATAATGGTACATGATTACGCAGAATAAGGGCCTCTCTCTCCCTCCTGAATTCATTTTTTTTTTTTTTTAAGAATCTCTTTTCTAAAAATACAAGGAATTCTGTGAATCTTTTTTCTGCTTCTGAAATATTTTCTAAAGAATCTCTCTAGCACTTGCAAAGCAATGATTATGAATGACTAAACAGTCTTGCATATATTTCTGGAATACTTGGAAATGCCTCTGTTATTTTTGGAAAGATGTGCTTGTTCAGGTTATTCCGCAATGGGCAGCTACTGAGAATTCTTTAGTGATAAAAAGCCTGTAGCTCCACCTACTGCTTCCTCAAAAATGACAACCTGGTTTCAGGACTCAAAAATAAAAATGAAGATCCAGTGAAACAGCTTTATCTTCCAAATAAAACTCATATACTTAACTGATTTCAGTAAACATTTAGTTAAATGTTTCCACCACTGGCAAAACAAACATGTGTAGCCCGTACATTATGCATTACATGTAGAAGAGAGGGAAATAAAAGCAGGCAAGGAGTAAACTGTTGAGTATTTTGAAACATCTACCAAAGTTGTTGCCAACACCAGCTGAGGAGTGAGGTGGATTGGAGAAGTCCTTGGAGAATACACAACGTTAGGGAAAGAACAGACTTTAAAACACAAGCAAAATAATCACAAACATGAGGCCTCGTGGTGTCTTGTTTTGCCTGGATTTGAAGAAAATGGTGACAAGGGATCCAAAGGCAAGATAGAAGTGAGAGAATTCAAATCTTTAGCTGAATGCTCTTGTTAAAATGGTCCAACTCTCTGCTACCTTGTCCCTCCTGGTGGCTCACTCCACAGGATCTGGTTCAGGAAACAATTTCGAATGGAATTAATTCTTTTGTTTTGACTTTGTCCACTACTACCAAAACCCCCAAGTCAATGTCTCTACATTACAGCAGACTTTCTTGTCTAATTTCTAGAACCTAACCACAATAGATAGTGCTGTTCTCTCAGTATGGGACTAAGAAATGCCATCTAGGAAACATGTTTTCCTTTTCTACCCATTTGTACTTCCTGTGAGTCTCAGCTGCTTTTTAGGTAAAACTCAGTTTCTCTCCACCACAGCTGAAAAGAAATACATATTTCCCATTTTCTATTTTCAACTGTGAGGTGGACATAGTAGGGAAGAACACTGAAAACTATTAAGTCAGTCATGTCCAGGCATACAAAGTTTTTATTGCTAAATCTAGAGGGGTCTTTTTCCTGCTTTCATTAATCATACTTAGCTGCTTTAAAATGTGTACGGCTTTGGTTTTAGGGTAATGCAATATAATGTAATTATACCATCAATAGTATTTCTATTTTGCACCTTTGCATTTAGAGAACATTTTTGTCTTTATGGGGTTTTGGAGACAACTTTAATTGGATATAATTTTAACCCCTCCAGAGAAGTTGCCAGAATACCAATACCATTCATGCATGCTTTACCCAGATTCACAATGGGGCAAACCATAAGAATTTTGTTCCATTAGTTTTGTCACTCTCTCCATTTTCCAGCCCATTTGAGAATACTTTGCAAAATATCTTGCTCCTTTACTCCTAAATATATCAGTGTGTGTTTCCTAAAAAAATAATATTTTCTTACATTAACCACAGTTCCAAAACCTAGGTGATTTTACCATTGGTGTAATTCTGCTATCTAATCCACAGTCCACATTCAGACTTCACCAATCATAACAATAATGTCTTTCCAGCTAACTTTTTTATCCTGGTCCAGGATCCATACAAGATTCCTACCTTGCATTTCAGTCTCCTTTATTCTGGAGTATTCTTCAGCCTTTCTTTATCTTTCATGATCTGGACAATTTTAAAAGAATCCAGCCAGCTCTTTTATACAACATTGTCCATTTAGGATTATGGTCTTTTGCCTTCTCCTGTCAGAGGACAGATGTTTTTTTCTCTGTTTATCACATGATTTGGCAATACTAACTTCAATCACGTGATGTGAAACGGTGCTCACCCACTGTTTCCCTTCATTGTTGCTGTTATTTAGTCTCTAAGTCATGTCCAGCTCTTTGTGACCCCATAGACTGTAGCCTATGTTGCCATGGGATTTCCAGGCAAGAATGCTGGAGTGGATTGCCATTCCCTTCCCCAGGGGATCTTCCCAACCCAGGAATCGAACTGGTGTCTCCTGCAGCTCCTGAATTGGCAAACAGATTCTTTATCACTGCGTCACCTGGGAAGCTTTCCCTTCATAAGTAATAAATATTTGTAGGGGATACTTTGAGACTATGAACATATCCTCAGTGCAGTGCTCAGCGCTCAGTCACTTACTCGTGTCTGACTCTTTGAGACCCCGTGGAGTGGAGCCCACCAAGCTCTTCTGTCCATGGAATTCTCTAGGTAAGAATACTGGGACAGGTTGCCATTTCCTACTCCAGGGGATCTTCCTGACCCAGGGATTAAGCTCGTGTCTCTTGTGTCTCCTGCATTGGTAGGCAGATTTTTTACCACTGCGCCACCTGGGAAGCCCATGAACATATACTAATTCTCATCAAATTTCAACCACTAGGATGTATTGATGATTTTTCCTGAATTAATTATTAATAATGATGCAAATTTTAATTACTACAAATGGTGCAAAATAAGGATTTTCTAACACCATCATCCTTTCTACATATGCTAGTTGGCAAACCACATTTAGTCCACCTTATTTCAATATTAGCTTTTTGCAATGTCAATGACAACCTAGAAGCATATTTGCAAAGACCTAAACTGCTTATTGATTGGAAGAAATCAACTTTTCTTGAATCTGAAAAGTTTGTGGTTATTAAATCCCAACAGAAAATGTTAAATGCCTTCTGAAAAAATCTCTCCAAGTCATTAAGCAAATTCTTCCAAAAACTAGAAACTATCAAATCAAAACAAAAACTGCACCTAAAAATAACACTGAATTATTTGATCAGCAAAATGATACCTATCAAATTAAAAATAGATTTAAAAACCTATAAAAAATTTTAAATATGGTCTTTTGATTCATGAGGGGAAAAAAACAGTAAAACCTCAAGTCTGCTGAGAGGACTGCTTATTTGACTTATACACAGGGTACATTATGCAAAATGCCAGGCTGGGGGAATCACAAGCTGGAATCAAGATTTCTGGGTGAAATATCAACAACCTCAGATATACAAATGAAACCACTCTAATGGCAGAAAGTGAAGAGGAACTAATGAGTCTCTTGATGAGGGTGAAAGCAGAGAGTGAGAAAGAAGATTGAAAAAGCTGGCTTGAAACACAACATTAAAAAAGTAAGATCATGGTATCTGGTCCCATCAACTAATGGCAAATAGAAGGGGGAAAAGTGGAAGCAATGACAGATTTTATTTTCTTGGGCTCCAAAATCACTGTGGATGGTGACTGCAACCATGAAATTAAAAGAGACTTGCTCCTTGGAAGGAAAACTATGACAAATTCAGACAGCATATTAAAAAGAGATTTTGCCAACAATTTTGCCAACAAAGGTCCATATAGTCAAAGCTGTGGTTTTTCCTGTAGTCATGTACAGATATGAGAAATGGATCATGAAGAAAGCTGAGCACCAAAGAGTTGATACTTTCAAATTGTGGTGTTGGAGAAGACTCTTGAGAGTCTCTTGGACTGCAAGGAGATCAAACCTGTCAAAATAAAGGAAATCAACCCTGAATATTCATTGGAAGGACTGTTGCTGAAGCTGAAGCTCCAATACTTTGCCTTCCAGATGTGAAGAGCTAACTCGTTGGAAAAGACCCTAATGATGGGAAAGATTGAAGGCAAAAGGAGACTGGGGTGCCAGAGAATGAGATGGTTAGATAGCATCACTGACTCAATGGACGTGAATTTGAGTAAACTCTGGGAGATAGTGGGGGACAAAGAAGCCTGGAGTGCTACAGTCCATGAAATCACAAAGCCGTTGGACACAACTTAATTGAACAAGAACAACAACAACAACAGAGATCCCAATCAGCCTGGTTTATCTCTTGGTGTGATAACTCAAAAGAGGGATCGGGTGGAGAGGGAGGTGGGAGGGGGGTCTGGGATGGGGAGTACATGTAAATCCATGGCTAATTCATTTCAATGTATAACAAAAACTACTGTAATGATGTAAAGTAATTAGCCTCCAACTAATAAAAATTTAAAAAAAAAAAGCAGAAAAAAAAAGAAGATTACATAAGATAAAAAAAATCCGGACAGATGGCAGAGTAGACGGAATGAAATGATGGGCAATATGGACCTTCTCCCCAAAATGTATAATCTTATCAATTTTAATCAGTCTCTCCAGCTATGATTATAGCACACCCAGAAGGAAATAAAGTAAGGAGTCCTTTGCTCAGGGCCAGCTTCAGGGGCATGAGACCAGTGCAGCCACACAGGACACCACATTTAGAAGGGCCCTCACCTGATTTCCGTGGTGGCTCAGACGGTAAAGCGGTGGCCTACAATGCAGGAGACCTCGGTTCAATCCCTGGGTCAGGAAGATCCCCTGGAGAAGGAAATGGCAACCCACTCCAGTACTCTTGCCTGGAAAACCCCATGGACGGAGGATCCTGGTAGGCTACAGTCCAAGGGGTCGCAAAGAGTCAGACACAACTGGGCGATTTCACTTCACCTGATTTGCTGCTTTGTTGTCAACATCCTGAAATCATTATTTTAAGAAAGAGCTCTTGGGTTTTATTTTGCACTGGGCCCCACCAATTATGTAGCCCATTTTGATTCCACTGACAAGACAAGTCCTAGCCTGAAGCTGGCTACTTCATTTCCTCTACTAAGGCTTTTATTTCAAGTTCTCAGCTCCTCTTCCTTAGATATATTTGCAGGAGCTTCTAATTAGCTTACTAGCCTCTTTTCTCTTACCTCCATTTTCTCATTCATAATATACAAATCACATCCTGCTGCAACCTTAAAACCTGTCAGTGAATTCTCACTGTATGCAGAATAGAGTTTGCATTCCTTAGCAAGGCACAGATGTCCACTGCAGAATGGTGTGATCTCAGCTGTACTGCACTACTCTCTCCCTTACCTCTTTCGTGCATCCTATGTTACTTCCCCAGAGTCATTGTCTCAGATGTCCTTGTCCCTCCCTCCCTCGGTTCATTCCTCTGCCTGGGCTGTCCTTCCCCCTCAGTTCTCTTCTCTGGAGAGCAGTAGACCAATGCAACCTCTGTAGCCTTCCCTGACTTTTTCCTGCATGTATGCTAAGTCACTTCAATTGTGTCTGACCTGTGCGATGCCATGGACTGTAGCCCACCAGGCCCCTCTGTCCATGGGATTCTCCAGGCAAGAATACTAGAGTGGGTTTCCATGCCCTTCAGTGGATCTTCCTGACCCAGGAATTGAACCCATATCTCCCGCAGCTCTTGCATTGCAGGTGGATTCTTTACTGGTGAGCTACTGGGGAAGTCTGTACTTTTCCCTACTGCATACTAATTTTTGTCTCTTCTTTTGAATAGCATCTGAACATACTTCTGTGGTATTACTTAACCTAAATAGCCACAACAGTTTATTTACTCCTTTCCAGACAAACTGTGAGCCTCTAGAATCAGAACTCATATCCTGTTCTCTCTACTCTTAGCTCAGTGACTAGCACATAGAGGCACCAGCAGTAGTCATTCAAGAGATCTTTGAAATTGAACTGTCACTTAAGTAATAAGGAAATTTAAGCCCACAGTCCCCCAGGAAACTAACGACAAAGCAAAAATTCAATCTCAGGTCACCTAATTATTGATTCAGTACACCATGTTGTCTTCTTCTGGTGAATTTTCCAATAAAATATCAGTCATTTTCCCCCACCAGTATTTGACATAACACATCCCTTTGTGCTCATCCAGTATGTGGGGAATTGAAGCAATACTGTTTCCCTCCTAGAATTTCACCAGAATATGGATTGCCTGATCTGGGTGAGCACTAGGGGACTGCTATTCCAATTCTTCATTTCACCCCAAAGAAAGGAGAGAGAAGAGAGATGAAGAGGCTCTCCCTGGGTTACCTAATTAGTTACCAGGTGTGCTGAGTCTTAGGCCAGTACTAATCCCATTGACCACATTGTCTTGTAATTAAAGGGAAGAATCCAGATAAAATGCGTGATCATAGCAAATAAGTACTGCTTCCCTAACACCAGCCATTGGACTAATTTGCTTCTTTCCTGGACCAGCAAAGGACCATCTGAGATTTACACAGTGCTATAAAGTCTCTCAGTTTTTATCTCTACCATAGTGTAGGTTCCATCCAAGCATATTTGGATTCCCCTATGCTCAAACACAGATGGAGAAGCCTCCACATACCCTCTCTCTGCTCTGCATACCCCCTCCCTAATGCATAAAGACATGTCTGAACATATTTGATTTCTCCATTCTAAAAAACTAGCTCTAATGGAAAGGCTCATATTACTAAAAGGTGAAAGGGGATTCCCCAACTACCTCCAACTATCCAATGGGTGCTCTTCAGAGAATAATTATTGACTTTTTCTAACACATCTGAAAAGGAGTGAGGAAGTTATTCCAACTCCAACCACAGGGACCTAAAGTAGACACCAGGAAGAGGAAAGACCGGGACACATAGTGGGAGGCTGGAAACAGATTTCTGATAACATAAACTGTCTTGAAAAGAATGGATTAAAATTTTATAAATCCTTAGATTGCATTTTGAGAAAACCAGTTATAGATCAGATTCACTGTAGAGTGTTCCATCCACTTTAAAAAAAAAAAAAAGTTATGCTTCAAAAAAATTTCATAAATGCACAAAGCATTGAGCAAATGGAATATTTTAAATAGCTTTGTCAGCAACTTTGAAAACATCTTAAAAACAAGTGATGTTTGTTGGTCTCTGGGATTTGTTCCCATAGAAAACTTGGGATTAAAGTTACTGACTAAGAGCATATAATCTAGGAAGAAGGATTGAACTGGGGTCCAGCATCCTTGGTCAGTTGATGCCTGCTTCCTCCTAGTCCCCCATCATGGACACATCCAATGTGAATTGGCTTCCCTGGTGGTTCAGTTGGTAAGAATTCACCTGCATTGAGGGATACCTGGGTTCAATCCCTGGGTTTAAGACAACTGAGTCATGGATCAGAAGTCATGTTTGAAACACGCCATACTCTGTGCATATTTGTGTCTTTATCTGAAATATTGGGTCAGGAAAGAGCAAAGGCTTTGATTATGCGCCATTCAAATCCCAGCTCAGCCACTTCTCAGTAATGATATTTAATATCTCTGAGCTTCATTTTCCTCTTCTCCAAAATGGAAAATATAGCATCTATCTTATAGGAATTTCGTGAGAATTCAAATTACTCAAAGGTACAATGTCTCCATTGTATGCAATTTTTTTTAAAAAAATGTTTTTTCATGTATTCCTTCCCACCTTCTCCCACATAGAGTTTTTAGGAGACAAAATAACAGAATATACATGCCTGACGTATAATCATCACATAATAAGTGATAATTTCTTTTCCCCTCCCTTCCACCTCACCATCATTATAATGAGGGTTTTGTGATAGCTAATTCCTAAAATCCCATCTAACTCTATAATTCTACTAATAAGTTCCCTGCTTCAACACTTAGCTTTATTTGTGCATCTTTGGATCCAGGACAGTAGCAAGCTGGCACAGGTATTTAATTAGTATTTGTAGCATTAAATTTCCCCTACTATTAAGCAGGTTTGAGGTAAGATGCCTGCTCTCTGTGTTTCTAGAACTATACACACTGAAGGAAATGACTCAGCTTCCTAAGTCAGAGGGAGGCTACGAGAGGGAAGGTACACCTGGCGGAGCACAGTAAGACAAGACTCACCTCCACAGGGGAGAAACCCCCGCCTCACTCTGTCCCCTTCACTGGGGAGCTTCCTCCGGACATCAGATGGCTGCTTCCAGAATTCAGCAGCATTCTGTAACAGTTGTTACATTTTAAAAGTACTGCATCAATGTGCTATTTTTAGCCATTGTCCACAGTGCAAACGGGGCCATCAAGGATCTCCCTTTGAACCTATATTTGATTATTGGCCAAATTTTCCATATCCTGTTAGAGGCTGTTTCAGAAACATCTGTTTTCATTAAAGAGTGATCAGGAAAGTGCTCTCACATTATAGAGGAAACAGGCTTTGTTTAATATGAATTGTTGGCACTATAAACCCTTGTTTCGAAGCTGAAGGAACAATCATCAACATCTGTGCCAAATCTAGGAAGACAGGCTGGGCCTCACTGACCACAAACCACAGGACTCAGTTCTGGGAAGAGCTGCCCTAAAATGTAAGACTGGTGAAGTTCCAGGGTAAGGTCTCGATCACCCAGGTTTGGCACATGTCACCCACGAAAAAGGAAAAGGAAACTCACGGAGCTATGTTCCATCCTGCTCTGGGACCCTCTTGATCTCAATTAGTCTGTGGACAGATGACTGTCCGCTATACTTCCTCCATTGCCATCTCTCTTCTTCCTCTGCCTCTTCTTCAAAGATTAAATATTGAATTTGGGTCACTTCAAAAACTTAAAGAATTCACCTTCTCTCCTGTCCAATTTCCACCCTTATTACTCTAAGTCATTCTATAGTCTTGATATATTGTCTAATATGTATACATTTGATTTCGGTATTGGTCATTTGGTGATGTCCATCCATGTGTAAAGTCATCTCTTGTGTTGTTGAAAAAGGGTATTTGCTATGACCTATACATTCTCTTGGCAGAATTCAGTTAGTCTTTGCCCTGTTTCATTTTGTTCTCCAAGCCCAAACTTGCCTGTTACGAGGTACCTCTTGACTTCCTACTTTTGCGTTCCAATCCCCTATGATGAAAAGGAGATCTTTTTTTGATGTTAGTTCTAGGAGGTATTCTAGGTCTTCATAGAACTGGTCAACTTCAGCTTCTTCAGCAGCGGTTGTAGAGACATAGACTTGGATTACTGTCACATTGAATAGTTTGCCTTGGAAACAAACAGAGATCATTCTGTCATTTTTGAGGTTGCACTGCATTTTGGACTCTTTTGTTGATTATGAGGGTTACTTCATTTCTTCTATGGGATTCATGACAACAGTAGATATAATAGTCATCTGAATTAAATTCACCACTCCTGTCCATTTTAGTTCACTGATTCCTAAGATGTTGATGTTTATTCTTACCATCTCCTGCTTGACCATGTCCAATTTACCTTGATTCATGGACCTACCATTTCAGGTTGCTATGCAATACTGTTCTTTGTGACATCAGATTTTGCTTTCATGGCTGATTCATGTCAAAGTATGGCAAAAACCACTACAAGATTGTAAATTAGCCTCCAACTAATAAAAATTAATGGGAAAAAAAAGATTTTGCTTTCATCACAAGACACATCCACAACTGAGTGTCATTTCCCCTTTGGTCCAGCCTCTTAATTCTTTCTGGGGATATTAGTAGTACTTCTCCACTCTTCCCCAGTAGCATATTGGACACCTTCAGACCTGGGGGACTCATCATTCGGTGTCATATCTTTGTGTCCTTTCATACAGTTCATGAGTTTCTCACACCAAGTATACTAGGCTGGTTTGCCATTCCCTCCTCCAGTGGATCACATTCTGTCAGAACTCTCCACTATGACCCATCTGTCTTGGGTAGCCCTACACAGCATGGCTCATAGCTTCATCACATTGTGCAAGCCCCTTCATCATGACAAGGCAGTGATCATGAAACCATTCAATCTTAAGGGAAATCAACCCTGAATACTCATTAGAAGGACTGGTGCTGAAGGTGAAACTCCAGTATTTTGATCATCTGATGTGAACAGCTGACTCACTGGAAAAGTCTCTGTTGCTGGGAAAGATTGAGGGCAGAGGAGAAGAGTATGTCAGAGGATGAGGTGGGTGGATGTCATCACTGATACAATGGACATGAACTTGGGCAAACTTTGGGAGATGGTGAGGGACAGAGAGGCTTGATGTCCTGCAGTCCATGAAATCACAAAGAGTCAGACATGACGGGGTGGCTAAAAAGCAACAACGATCTATACATTGATGTTAACAGTATAAAAGACATTTATTTTGCATCTACAGTGCATACAGCACTAAGATGTTCAACATGTGATCTTGTTATAAAAGAATATAGAGAGAAACTATGACATATATAGGAATAACTACCATGCAATGGAGCAAAAGCTAGTGTCTTCAGAGTGGTAGAATTCAGATGAGAGAAAGATGATTTCCAACTGGATCAGCAAGTAAAGGAATGGCCCATGAACAGGCCTTTTAAGGATTTTAGTAGGCGATGATTGTTGGGGGAAATTCTTTGCAGGTAACAGGAAAGGCAGAAGAAAAGAAGCATCCTATATAAAATTAACACACAGAAATCCCTTGCATTCCTATACACTAACAATGAGAAAACAGAAAGAGAAATCAAGGAAACGATGCCATTCACCATTGCAACAAAAAGAATAAAATATACTTAGGAGTATATCTACCTAAAGAAACAAAAGACCTATACATAGAAAACCATAAAACACTGATGAAAGAAATCAAAGAGGACACAAACAGATGGAGAAACATACTGTGTTCATGGATTGGAAGAATCAATATTGTCAAAATAGCTATTCTACCCAAAGCAATCTATAGATTCAATGCAATCCCTATTAAGCTACCAATGGTATTTTTCACAGAACTAGAACAAATAATTTCACCATTTGTATATAAATACAAAGAATAGCCAAAGTAATCTTGAGAAAGAAGAATGGAACTGGAGGAATCAACCTGCCTGACTTCAGGTTCTACTACAAAGCCACAGTCATCAAGACAGTATGGTACTGGCACAAAGACAGAAATATAGATCAATGGAACAGAATAGAAAGCCCAGAGATAA